TTTGATATAGAATCATTAATTACGTATACAAACCTTATAAAAAACGTATCATTTCCTTATTTCAATTTCTTATAGGACATAAGGATTGTTAGAATAATCCTCATAAAAAACTCTGGCGGACTGTTTAAAAATAAAAATGATTATTTAATAAATGAGTATTATACTAATTACTCTCTATTCCACAAGAATAATACCTACTTACCATAGGGTAACTGTAAACTATCTACAAAATTATGTAAAAGGCTGCTATATCGCTTTTTTATAATATTCTTGTCCTTTTAAAAAACTGATTTACAACCGATCTGAAAAAAATGATTTCAATAGAAAGAGTTTATAGAAAGTTTACGATTGGTATGGCTATTGGCTTTGATTATGAATTATCACTTTTCTTTTGGATTTATCACTAATTTTAGTAATACGGGGTGATTACACTCAGTATAATCACAAAAATTTATTAGTGTAATGAGCAAGATCAATCCATATGAATATTTTTTTCGATTTTCTGGGTCTTCAGGATCTATCACACTTTGCGGTTGGTTTATTCTCAAGGTAAGATTATTATGATGATACTATAAATTAAGATAAAATACCCATGTTTGATCCAGCATATTCACAACTTTTAGATACAAACCAGGAGCTTCATAGTGAACTTCAAGATGAAATTTCTATTAATAAGAATAATGAGAAAAAAAGTTGCTTCCTTGATAAGGAGCTTGAGCAATGTTATCAAACTATTTCATCTCAGGATAAAACTATTATAGCTCATGAAGAGGAGATAGAATCTCTCAAGACAGAAATCAAATCCCTTAAATATCATCTTCAAAAAACATTGCGAGATTTAAGACATAAAGGTGATGCTAGTACTTCTCAAAATATCCATATTTTAAGGCTGGAAGATAAGGTTGATCAGCTTAAGGGAAGAATTCAGGAGCTTACAGATAAAAAGTTATTATTAAAAGGATCAGATATGAATTGTACCATTCAAGGTATTTTAGATGGACGATTTGAAGCTTCCAGTTCTTTAGAAAGAATAAGAACACATTTGGATAATATTGGAGTTGTTCTCCCAAATGACATAACTGGGGAATTTGATAGAATTGGTATATGTTTTACTAATATTATTACAAGTCTTAGTTTGATTCGACGGTATTGGCAAGATCAGGAATACTTAGTTGATCAATTAACTCAGCGAGCCAGAAATGCCGAGCATAATTTTCAAAATCTTAAGGTACAGTCAGAGCATGATGATCAAATGTTTAAACAGGCTTTAAAGGATGAAGGGGAAGCGCGTAGAAAGAATTGGGAATTGGCTCAGAATTTGCGAGCATATGCTCAAAGTATGGTTACTAGAAAACAAAATCGAATTAATGCACTATCACAAGAAAAAATTATCCTCCAGCTAATAGTTCGACGTAAAGATGGTCAAATTACTGAGCATAGGAGAACTGCGCATAGATGGACCATAAGGTATAATAACGATGCTGAAAGGTGGAGAAGACAACATGATTGTATTATTCAACAAGCTCAGAATTGGCATAGACATTATAAAGATGAGAGCAGGAAACACCAGAAACAGCGTGATATTACTCAAAGATTAGAAGGAGCTATGATAAATAATGATGCTAGAAAGCAAGCTCGTATTAATACATTAGTACAGGAGAAGTTTGCTCTTCAGCTAATAAATAGAAATTCCCGGCAAATTATTTTTAATCTACAGAATAATCCACTAAATACAACAGGAATGGTAGGATACGGACCCCCAATATTTTATGGTCGTCCTGGAGAGGATCCAGATGATTGGCTTAGGGACATGCAAAGATATATAATAGCTAGTCGAATAAATGTTGCACCTGGTGCAGGTCAGGCCCCCGGAAGAGAAGAGGCATTTGGGCTAGTAGTATCATGCCTTGCAGGTGATGCATTGAATTTTTATTTAACTCGTATCAAAGGTAAAAATTGGAGATGTAATAATCTCTCAGACAATTTGGGAGTACTTACTTTAACTGCTATTCGAACAATAGGTGCTGGAAATGGTGGTAACCAAATTGGTGGTTTGAATACTGCTGGAGAATTCCAAGATAAGGCGGCCGCCGAAATTGGTAGAATTGGAGCAGGTATTGCAACAGGTGCTGATATTATTCCAAATGGAACATGGGATGAAGATTGGTCTATAGCTGGTGGCGAACCCGTAGATAATGCACCAGTAGCGCCTAATGCCGGAGGTGGTTTTCCTGCTGTTACTATTGCTCCTGGTATTAAGCTTGGTCAACTTCTATACCTGTTTAGAACCTCTTATACAACTGTTGAGCACTTAAAACAAACGGCAGTTTTTGGTCAACTCATGCAGGGTGATTTGTCAGTTGAGCAATTCTCCACTAGAATTAAAAAGATCGGTAAAGTAGCTGAAATGACTCCTAAACAGCAAAGAGAGCAATTTATTCGTGGTCTGTCTCCGATGAATCAATATAATCTTCGAATGATGGCTAAATTTCATGATACACAGGATAATATTACACAAGCTCTAGCTGAAGCAGAAAAATATACATTATCTCAAAAGAGCGCACCGTCTTCTTTTCCAATTTTTCCGGCGGCCAATCCATATGCAGATACTAACAGATCAGGGATGACTAAAAATGAAATCGAGAGCTTAGTAAAAAATACAATGGCATCCTCAGAACCTCAACGACCTCAACAGCCTCA